AGATCTCTTCACAGCACTTGTATTTATTATCACGTTTAGGTGCATCATTAATAATTCATTCACCTTTCCTCCAGAAGTTTTTCAGGTTAATAGGAGCCCCTATCAGCACCAAATCAATTTGAGCTTGGTCATAGATCAAAAGACAATCACAGACAAAATCATGCTGAAAATCTACATTGCATATCCTTTTTTATTATTTTAAAAGAAATAAAAATGATAAACCTACCAAGAGTGGCCATAATCTGTCATATTAGTGACTGAACACATGTTTTGGATGGATCATCTCAGGTGATATTTTGACTGAGGTTTGGTCTGTTTTCAGTATCTTTGCCCTGCCATACGATTGCATTTTTTTTTTGCCCTTTGGTTAAGGAAAAAAAAATTACCTTCATCCCCCATCTTCACTGTGCTGATTTATTTATGTTCTATTATTTCATTATTCTAACCATGGCATTGTAGCTAGCCATCAGGTAGCATATCATTACATGCCAGCTAGCCCAACTTCAATACAAACACTGACACTACTTAATTTCTTTCTGTCTTTATTAATGTCTGACAAGCCATATGTTTTAGTTTTTCAGAAATCTCTGGGTCAGTACATGGCAAATCATCTTTAGATAGAAATGATAGCGAGCTAACTTCCTGCTTCTTCAACTTCTAACTCTGTTGAACATTGAAAATCTTTTTTTCTATGGATGCATGTATGTTAAACCTTATTGTAACACATGGGAGAGAAGCCACTACAATCATTTTATTGGAGATGTAAATTTCTGGGCTCTTTTAAACTCTCAGTGGTGCCACAGAGTCTGTTTGAATTTGGGAACAGAAGTTTGTACCGGGGAATAGCTACTGACATCAGACTTTTTAGGCAGTTTTTACAAAAAAGCAAAAGCAAAAAACCTCTTTCACAGCTTTGTATGTGGTAACCCTACTGCTGTAGAATAAAATGGCTAGGTAAGTGGCCTGCACCTGTGAAACCTTTTGTGCTTTGGGGGTTACCTTATTGTTGCCCATCCAGCTTAGCTAAAGCTGACAACACCGGTCTGCTAATCAATTAACCAAATCAACATCCCAGAAATGTATTTGACTTGATGCTATAAGTCAGAATGAAAAGTATCCCTTTCATTTTTAATTGCATTAGCATTCGCTTCGGTCATGAATTAGCTGGAATGTGGACTGAAGGGCAAATAGGGGAAGAAAACTGTGGGCTTGATCTTGCAGGCAGATCATCTGTGGTTCAACAGTTTGAAGTTAAGTAGCAGCCATGGCCATCTCTGTTTAGACACTCATAAGCTTGCCTCTTTTCTGTTCACCATTTTTCATGACAGAATTAACTATTCTAATTAAGACAGCATGAAACACACACCATATATACCCTGTGGTCTTCCGGTCACACTCAGTGAACTAACAGATACAACCCTGCTGGTGCAAAAGAACAAAAACATCGTGATAATGAGCTGTAAATGTTAGTTTTATTATTCTTGTGAATGATGTGATCAATCCAGCCTTTTTATTCTACAGCTCAAGATAAGAAAACCAATTAGTTACCTATATTTTACAGTGCCTTTAGTGTTAAAAAAACATGTTATTTGGCACAATGCTGATCAT